CCCGAACGCTCAGTGTTCTCACCCGTGCCTGGTTTTTCATGCGACGCGAGACAATACCCCCACTTCGTGGGGGGGCAGTTCAAGCTCTACCAAATATCCAAACGACTCTTCGCGACCACCCAAACCCAGCTTCCCGCCCTATGACGTTGGGACACTTCACTTCGTGGCGTGCGGACGACCGTGGCTACTACACTGGCGTGGGGTACACACCCACAGAACTTGGTCACTTATTCGGGGCGCGCGTGTGCCCAGCATCCTGCAATTGTGACATACAATACATGACACAGACAGACAGAGAGAGAGACAGAGAGCAGACAGAGAGAGAGACAGAGAGAGCGGAGTTGGTCACATTTTTGGGGCAAGTTCCTGAGATCGTCGTGTTTTTTGTTGGTCTTGCGCGCGCGAATGTCCACTTTACTTTTTTTTTGCAAGGGATGTTGAAATTTGATTATGTAAGAACAAGAAAAAGTAGCTCGCGCGAGCTTATGTAACATAAATGTTGAAAAACCATTGGTTTTGTGGGAGTCGGACAGCGCGCGCGGGATGAAATTTGGACATTTTTTTTATGAAAAACCATTGGGTTTTTGATGTTTTTATGTTGAAATCGCTACGAAACCTAAGGTTCTGGAAGGATTTCGTCTTGCGCGCGCGAATGTCCACTTTACCTTATTTTTTGCAAGGGATTATTGAAATTTGATTATGTTAGAACAAGAAAAAGTAGCTCGCGCGAGCTCATGTAACATAAATGTTGAAAAACCATTGGTTTTGTGGGATTCGGACAGCGCGCGCGGAAGGACATTTTGACAATTTTTTCTTAAAAAACCATTGGGTTTTTGATGTTTTTATGTTTAAAATCGTTACGAAACCTAAGGTTTTGGAAGGATTTCGTCTTGCGCGCACGAATGTCCACTTTACCTTATTTTTTGCAAGGGATTCTTGCAATTTGATCAAGTAAGAACAAGAATTTTCATTTTATAGTGTTTTTTGCAGGGAAAACGGATTACAACAAAACAACCGGATCCGGTGACAATCCACTTTTCTGAAGCTTTCGCTAGAAAATGAAGGAAATGAGGCTGCGGCCTAGGTTTTGGAGGGGGGTCGTGCACCAGGGGTCCCAACAATAATTATTCTTAAGAAGAAATAATGTTCAACACCACCAACAACAACAACAACAGCAACAACAACAACAGCAGCAGCAACAACAACAATCACAACAACAACAACAACAACAACAACAACAACAACAACCATTTTAAGGCTGTGCGCTCTTACTTGCCCGCGAGTCATTCAACACGTATACCCTACACCCTCGATGCCCGCCCTCTTCGTATTCGATCACACCCCTTTCGGAGGGATTATTTCTCTTTGCTGGGGCCGGTGGGCTTAGACGTACGGGCAAACCGGAACGGGTGCGGGCCCTGCAAGAGGAGGAGGGGAAGAACGAGGGAGAGTGGGAGGAAGGGGAGGGGGAAGGACGAAGGAAGGGGGAAGATACCACGTTGTGAAGGCGTCCTTGGCGCGTGCGTGGTTCCTGAGCGCCGAAACGCAATTCCAGAATAATTTGTGAGGACGTCGCACGCGAGAGCGCAGTCCTGAGTACATTGTGAGGAAATCTCAGGCGGAAGCGGGGGCCCTGACTAAGTTGCGAGGAAGTCTCAAGCGGGAGCGCCGTTCCTGAGCAAATTGCACGGAAGTCTCAGGCGGGAGCGGGGGTCCTCACTAAATTGCGAGGAAGTCTCAGGCGGGAGCGCCGTTCCTGAGTCAATTGCGCGGAAATGTCAGGCAGGAGCGGGGGTCCTGAGTAAAATTCGAAGAAGTCTCAGGCGGGAGCGCCGTTCCCACGTAAATTGCACGGAAGTCTCAGGCGGGAGCGGGGGTTTTGATTACATTGCGAGGAAGTCTCAGACGGGAGCGCCTTTCCTGAGTAAATTGCGCGGAAGTCTCAGGCGGGAGCGGGGGTCCTGAGTAAAAATCGAGGAAGTCTCAGGCGGGAGCCGTTGTTGTTGTAGCCCGGGGGGCAGGGGCACAGTTTGAGCAGGAAGACTTTCCTTGAGAAAAAACAAGGTGCGAGCCCCGGGGGTGGCACTTCAATCGAAAAAAATCAATGTGCACCGGTGGGGGGGATCAACAATAATTATTCTTCAAGAATGAGAGTTCAACAACAACAACAACAACAACAACAACAATCACTTTACCCGAACGCTCAGTGTTCTCACCAGTGCCAGGGTTTTCATGCGACGCCAGCCAATACCCCCACTTTGTGGGGGGGCAGTGCAAGCTCTACCAAATATCCACACGACTCTTCGCCACCACCCACACCCAGCTTCCCGCCCTATGACGTTCGGACACTTCACTTCGTGGCCTGCGGACGACCGTGGCTACTACACTGGCGTGGAGTACACACCCACAGAAGTTGTTAAGCCTACGTTCGTACACCCACAGAAGTTGTTAAGCCTTGTTAACCCACAGAAGTTGTTAAGCCTTCCACAGAACATCTGTTGCATATGATGTAGCTCGCGCGAGCTCATGTAACATAAATGTTGGAAAACCATTGGTTGTTTTAAGATTCGGACAGCGCGCGCGGGGGAAATTTTGAAAAAAGTGCAGGTGTTTTTGGAGACCTACGGTGCGATTCGTGTGATTTTATGATGCGCGGTGCAAAATCTTAAAAACCCAATGGTTTTTGGAGATTTCGGCGTGCGCGCGCGAAGAAAAAACGAATGTGTCCCGCATGGTATTATTTGACAGGGATGATGGCCCTGGCAGGTGCGCAACCGTTGTCGCAGAAGTTCGAAAAAGTTGCTCGCAAAAGCCCGTTTGACAGAAATGTTTAAAAAGTGTTGGGTTTCCTACGAATCCGCAAGAGCGCGCGGGATGAGATTTTGACATTTTTTTGTTGAAAAACCATTGGTTTTTTGATGTTTTTATGTTAAAATCGCTCCGAACACTAAGCTTTTGGAAGGATTTCGTCTTGCGCGCGCGAATGTCCACTTTACCTTATTTTTTGCAAGGGATTCTTGAAATTTGATTATATTAGAACAAGAAATGTCATTTTATAGTGTTTTTTGCAAGGGAAAACGGATTACAACAAAACAACCGGATCTTGATGACATCGTATTACCTGAGGCTTCCTCACGAAAATGATGAAAATGTAGCTGCGGCCTAGGCGGCGCAGGGGGGCCGTGCACCAGGGGCCCCAACAATAATTATTCTTTAGAATTAATAATGTTCAACAACAACATCAACAACAACAACAACAACATCAACCACAACCACAACAACAACAACAAGCACAACCACAACCACAACCACAACCACAACCACTACAACAACAACCACAACCACAACAACAGCAATAACAGCAACAGCAGCAGCACCAGCAGCAGCAGCAACAGCAGCAACAACAACAATATAAGGGGTACCTGCCTGGGTTGCACCCCCTTTTTGGCAGGTCGCCCCTGAAAGGGGCAGCGCGGACAGCTGTCCGAGAGGCCACGGGCCGTCTCGCAGAGAGTGGATTGCCATCAGCGTCGCAGTGCGACGCCTAGAGGCACGAGAGAATGCGACGCTTGCATCGGTCCAGACCTCCGCGGTCGAACTGAACTGAACTCCGGCCCCTCCCTCAGGATCAGAAGCAGGGCGAAGGCTGGCAAACCCGTGGCTGCTAGAACGGATCTCCGGGACATATTTTTGTTCCTTCTGGGGAGCAGCCTGTCTACTTCTTATAGCGCGCCGAGTTTTGTTGCGGGAATGCGTTTCTGTTCCATCCTGGAAGACCGGTTGGGCAGCCACGGATTTGCCAGCCCCCGCCCAGCTCCCGACAGGAGGGCAAGAAGAAGCTGCGCGAGATCGCCAAGGTGCAGGTGCCCCCGGAGGCCTTCATCGCGATGGTCAAGCTGTAGCGCGCCCCCCCCGCGCGCGCCCTGCGCGCAGGGCGGGGCCTGGGCCCGGCCCTCTGCTCCGCGGGCTCCCTCGCGCCAGCCCTGCCTGCCGCCCCGGCGAGGCCCAAGCGCGGCCCACGTCGCTGCCTTGGGGCCTTTCGGGGCCCCCAGAAGCTGAGGAACGTGGGGGCTGAAGTCCGCGAAGGATACCCTACTCCGACGCACTGCGCGCATCCGCCGGAAGCCCGACGAAGACTGGGTAAACCGTGGTGCACCAGGTCCACGCGAGGAGCTCGCGCTGCAACAGTGGCCGCTGGGGCAAAACTGTGGCCCGACCTGAGTTTCGGAGGTCGACAAACCTCCTACCCGGACACGTCGATTAGCGAATTGGCCGTGTTCGGTTCGCGGGAGGGCGTCGCGGCCGTCATTTTTGCAGGTCCAGGTCCGTCGGTTTCGGTCCCAGGCCGTTTTCACTGAAGGGAGGTTTGAAAAAGGGAGGTTTGTCCACCGCCGAAAGAGGGGTGGTGACCACGCCGTGTGGTGAGTCGGTGGGGACTCGGGGTCACCGCACGGTTTTGGGACTCGGGTCGTTCTCCGAGGACGTCTCGGGCGACTGGGGCATCCGAGGTCCCAAAACCGTGCGCTGACGGGCCGTGCGTAGTGGAACAAAAAGTGTCATAAACATAAAAACTCGGAGGTCCGTGCGGATTTCTCGGATCGGCGCTGGACCCCCCTCCCTGGCGCGCGGAGCGCCCCAGGGGCGGCGCCGGAGGCGCCGCTGGGGGGCCCCAGCGCCGATCCGAGAAATCCGCGCGGACCTCCGAGTTTTTATGTTTATGCCACGTTTTGTTCCCCTAAGTGCGGTGAGGTCCTGCGGGATGGCGAGGTCACCGCACGGCCTGCCGCCGCACCGTTTCGGGTCTCCAGAGGCCCCGGCGGGCAGCCCGGGCCCCCCTCCAGGCGAGGTCCGAGCAGCTGGGGCCAGAGGCTCGCGCCGCACCGCCGATGCACCGCGTCGATGCGGCTCGATGTGGAGCCAGAGTTGCTCCGCGCAATTGGCGCCGCCGCATCGCCGATGCATCGGCGATGCGTCGGCGAGGCGGCGCGGTCGTCCGAGCCCACCTCCTCGGACCCCAGCCGGGAGGCCTCTGGTCCAGGAAGCCTGCTTCCGGGTCCCCAGGGCGCCCCAGAGAAAAAACGTCCGCGCGACGAGCGAGAACGCCTCGGAAGGGAACTCCCTGGGGCCCACGCCGTTTAGAGAGAGAGAGAGAGAGAAGGACAGAGGAATGAGAAAGAGAGGGAGACAGAGGAGCCAGAGGGAGAGAGAGAGAGGGAGAGAGAGACAGAGACCGGACAAGTAGGCGGACCAAGGTCCGTCCTCGGGGCGCACTGCGGTGCGACAGCCCGAAAAACACTGTTAGCGGCGGTGCAGCCTTAAGATACGAGGGCGGGCGACAGGCCCCCTCCCCCGGCGCAATGCGTCTGAAGCAAAAGACGGCGGACAGACCATGAAGATCTCACCTGTCAGACCGCGTGAAGAAGAAGGCCCCAACGCGAGTGGCGACGTGAAGAACGTGGCTAAGGCGGCTTGGCGGACCGCCGGTTGGGCGCTTGGCCGCTGCGCGGCGCGCAGAGACGGGGCACCCCCCGCCCCCACGCCCAGGCCCCGTGGACGCGGTGCCTCGCGGGCGCACGGGCAGGCGAAAAGAGAAAAGGTGCACCAGCTGGGAGCCGTATGGCCCAGCACAGTGCGCACAGGCCGAGAACCCCAACAGGAGCGGCAAAAGCTAGCCGACAGCACAGCGGCACCAGCCGCTGCCAGCTAACCTTTAGCCCCCATTGGCGGACCTCGAAAGTGACAGAGTCCGCGGCCAGGCGGCGGACGGCAGAGGGGCGCCAGACGCGTTGAGGAAAAGGTGCACATGCTGGGAGCCGAATGGCCCAGCATGCGCACAGGCAGAAACAGTGCAAGGGTGCAGAGGAGGCCCTCACCGCGGATGCACCCGCTACGACATGGCGGACATGACATGGCGTGATGGCACGGGTGCGTGGGGCGAGGCTGAAGCCGCCACCCCCGCCAGCAGGCACGGCACACCAGGGAGCAGCGCCCGGGTGAGCAAGGCAGGACGCGCACATGCGGCGAGGGCGAGGCCGTACCACGCTGGTCAGGATGAGGGCAAAGTGAATGAGAAGCCCCAGCGTTCTTCAAAAGCGTCGGACCACGTAAGAAACTGAAGAAGGAAATCAGTATCAGTGCGCAGACGCTTGAGAGTGGCGCGGTGGATGAGGCCTGCTGTGCGGCCGTGCGGGGGGCCGAGGGCCGCGTCCACGCAGGTTAGGAGCATGTCCGAACTGCGGGCCAGAGTCGTGGTGGAGGTAGTGGTCGTCGGCGCCGTCGTCGCGTAAGTCTCGGAGTCCGACTTCACAGTCAGCTGTGCGTTCAGTCTGGGCGCGGCTGCCTGGTGGGACGGTCAGCGCAGGTGGCCTGCAGGGTACTGCTGCCGTGACGTCAGGGCGCTGTGCTGCTGAGGTACGGTGGCGTGGGTCCACTGCTGGGCCGGGCTGGGGTCCCTGAGTTTGGGCCTTGGTCTGTGCGCCCGTACTGGGGGACGGCATCTCGGCGCGGAGCGCAGGTGCAGGGACGGTCAGACTGGAGCAGCTCAGGTGGGCGGTGTCCCCAGACGACAGCGCGACGGTCCAGTGGCCGGGGTGCTCGCTGGACTGCCCCCGTACGATACCTCGGAGGCCGTTGATGGGGTTGTGGACTTGACCCTGGACGATGACCGCTGTGCCCGCGTGGAGCCGCGGTGGGATCCAAGCGGCCAAACGGCAGTTTACGGCTCGGAGGTGACCGATGGTGGCTGGTTGCGGTCCGAGGAAGCGCTCGAAGGGCTCCCGTACAGTCACAGTGCTAGTGCCGGCAGTGCTGGTGCTAACACGCGAGGTTGCGAGGGGGCCAGGACCCGGGGCAGGCGTGTGAGCATGCGAGACGGCCGAGGCTGGCCCCGCTGCCGTGCTACCAGGTTGTAGCGGGGAGGTCACCCCAGGGCTCGAGGCAGCGTGGGGGCCGATGACAGGAATGGCAGGCGTGGTGCCACGCGGGGGGGCTGAAGCCGCCCCCGCTGGCGTGCTACCAGGTTTTGGCGGGGGGGTCGACTCGAGGCTTGAGGCAGTGTGGGGGCCGATGACAGGAATGGCAGGCGTGGTGCCATGCGGGGGGGCTGAAGCCGCCCCCGCTGGCGTGCTACCAGGTTTTGGCAGGGGGGTCGGCTCGAGGCTCGAGGCAGTGTGGGGGCTGATGCCAGGGCGGCCCTGGGCGGCCGTCTGGTGGCCTAGAGGGCGTCTGCGGTCGACGTCGCCGCCGCGCTGTCGGCGTCGCCGCCGCGCTGTAGCTGCGCTCCGTCGCCGCCACTCGTCGCGGAAGCCGATGAAGAAGTAGTACATGACGTACGTGGCGCACAGGGTGGCCCACGTGGACGGTGACACCACGTTGTACCACTCGATGACCTCCAACCACACACGCTCCACGAACGCTGCCGCGTAGGCCGACGTGGGTGCCACCTTTGGTGCCGCCGCGGACGACTCAGGGCGTGCTGAATCTGGCAGGGTTGGCGTGAGAGTTGTCGTCGGCGATGACGTCTCGGCTGCGCTCGGTGCCGGCGTTGGTGCTGGTGTCAACGTTGGTGCCCGCGTAGGCGTGGGCGTGGGTGCTGCCGCTGGCAGTGCTGGTGTCGAAGCTATGGACGATGCTGCCATGGATGCGAGCGTCGATGCAGACGGCGGAGTTGGCGTAGATGCTGGCTGCAACTCTGGCGTGGGTACCGGCGTAGGCGCGGGCGTGGGTGGTGACGCTGGCGGTGCTGGCGTCGGAGCTGTCGTCGGTGCTGGCCTCACTGTTGACGTCGGGGTGGGTGTCGGGTCTGACGTCGCTGCTGCCTGTGACTCTGGCTTTGGTGCCGGCGTGGTGGGGGCGGCCGCTGGCGCTGGAGGTGCTGGTGTCAGAGCTGTCGTCAGTGCTGGCGTCGGTGCGGGCGTCGACAGGGACGTCGGTGCTGCCTTCGGCTCTGACGTCGCCGTCCAGGGGGCAGGCGTGGATGCTGACACTGCCGATGCTGGCGTCGGAGCTGCTGTCATTGGTGCTGACGCCTCGGCTGCACTCGGGGCCGGCGCTGTCGCTGGTGTCGGAGCTGCGTGCGGGTCTGGTGTTGGTGGCGCCGTAGTCGTGGGCGTAGGTGCTAACGTAGACGATGATGCCGCCGGCGAGTCTGACATGGCTGCCGCCGTGGGCGGCCGCCCGAAAACTGGCACTGCCGATGCGGCCGTCACAGCTGCCGTCCGTGCTGTCGTCGATGTTGTCGTCGATGCAGACAGTGCCGCAGACGATGAAATCGACGAGGCAGACGTGTCATGACATGACATGGCGGCCCCACTAGCGTAGGGTGCGCCTGAAGACGGCACCCGCGCCAGCGGCCCTGGGCGAGGCGTCAGGACAGTGAATGGCTGAGGGCTCGTCGAGGCAGGCGTCGATGCGGTCGTCGGTGCTGACGTCGCTGTTGGGGTCGATGCGGGCCGTGGCGCAGGCGTAGGTGTCGACGTGGCGGACATGATACGGCGTGGCATGGCGGCCCCAATAGCCGTGGGTGTGCCTGATGGCGTCGATCTCGTCGTCGACGCCGCCGTCGGTGCCGACGATACTGAGGCCGACCCTGTCGTCAATGCTGGCGTCGGTGCGGACGTGAGCGCGGGAGCCACGGCCGTGTATGCCGCCGTGGATGCAGTCATGGGTGCTGTCGTGGATACCGCTGTGGAGGCCGTTTGGGGTGCTGCCGTAGATGCCGACGTGGGTGCCAACGTTGGTGCCGCCGCCGGCGAGTCTGCCACTGCTGACGTCGAAGGCGGTCGCCCGAAAGCTGTCGCTGCCGATGCGGACGTCCCAGCTGCCGTCCGTGGTGGCGTCGATGTAGTCGTCGGCACAGATAGTGACACAGACGATACGGGCGACGAGGCGGACGTGGCATGACATGACATGGCGGCCCCACTAGCGGAGAGTGCGCCTGAAGGCTGCACTCCCGCCCGCGGCCCTGGACGAGGCGTCAGAGCAGTGACTGGCTGAGGACTCATCGAGGCTGGCCTCGATGCGGCCGTCGGTGCTGACGTTGATGTGGACGTGGGCGCCTCAATCGATGCGGTGGTCGGCGGTGCTGGCCTAGAGACACCCAGGGTCGTCGGCGGGGTGGGATAAATAGTGGGTGGCGGCACTCGGTGGCACCCTGCAGCGGGACTAAAGTCAGTCGCTTGGGGGTGGGGCACATGAGCAGTATGATCGACTGTCAGAGGGTAGCGCTGCCGTTCGGTGGATGCAGGCACGGGTGCTGGCGTCCTGGTGTCCGTGGACGCTGGCGTCGATGTTGACGTCAATGCAGGCAGTGGCACTGACGATGGTGTCGACGAGGCGGACGTGGCATGGCATGGCATGACGGCCCCAATGGCGTAGGGTGCGCCTGAAGACGGCACCCGCGCCAGCGGCCCTGGGCGAGGCGTCAGGACAGTGAGTGGCTGAGGGCTCGGTGAGGCTGACGTCGATGCGGCCGTCAGTGCAGGCGTCGGTGCTGAGGTCGCTGTGAGGACGAGCAGGACGATGCCGACCGTGGCCCGTTTGGGGCGGGCCAGACCCGCCGTGCCTATGGAGTCGAAGGCGTGGCCGCCGTCGACGGCCCGTTTTGGGCGGGCGAGTCCCACCGTGCCCAGGGAGTCCCAGGCGTTGCCGATGAGGCGGCAGAGCGTGTCCATGAGGTCGATGGCCCTTTTGGGGTGGGCAAGACCCGCCGTGCCCGCGGAGCCGCAGACCGTGTTGAAGGTCCTGACGGTATTACTCATGCACACGGCGGTCTTGTTGAAGAACCCGTGGAGGTGCTCTATGCCGCCCTGCACGGCGTACACGGCCCTTTTGGGGCGGGCAAGGCCCACCGTGCCCATGTAGCTGAAGACGCCCCGGAAGGCTGCGTAGATCGTGGCGGTGATCGCGCAGAGCGTGCCCGTGATGCCCGCGATGGTGCCGAAAAGGACGTGCACGGACACCCGGCTGACCGTCGTAACGGCACGGCGGGGTGCGCGAACCGGTTGTTCGGGCTGTGGGGCGCGAAGGGCTGGTAAGTGTTCGCGTAGGTGTTGAAGGTCCTCACGGAGTGCGCGAACCTCAGCGCTGAGGCACTGAAGGTCGTGACGAATCTCCTGGCAGACCCCGTCGTGGTGGGGTTCGTCTCGTGGTCCAGGCAGATGGGCAGGCGGAGGCGGACAGGTGGCCTTTGTCGTCCCGAGGTGCCGTAAGTCTGGCGGGCCCGCCGGAGGGACGGGCCTCAGGGCGGCCAGCGAGCGGGGCGGCGGCCGCGCACCGTCCTGGAGGTCCGCGGCTGGTCGGGCAGCGCCGGCGTCGTGATGAGCCCCTCGCTGAAGACGCAGTCGTCGTCGGCGTGAGGTGGTAGGGTGAAACAGAGGCTGCTGGGGGGTCGCGGTCACCGCGGAGGAGCTGACTGCGTCCTCGAAGGCGGCGGCGCACGGGCCCCGGACAACCCGTTGCATGGAAGTGCGGCGGCAGCTTGGCGTAGCATGGGGTGCCATGGCTGTGGTGCACTGCTAGGAATCGGGATGACGCGCTTCTGTCCTGTGGTGGAAAGCCACAGTCCAGTCTCGCCAGGCTGAAGGGCGCGGGGGGCAGCGCGTCGCGGCTACGCTATGAATGCCAGGCATTCTCGAGCCGAGACTGGAGAGAGAGACAGAGAGAAAGAGAGAGAGAGAGAGAAGGACAGAGGAATGAGAAGAGAGAGAGAGACAGAGGAGCCAGAGGGAGAGAGAGAGAGAGGGAGAGGCAGAGAGAGAGAGGCAGGGACACTCACACACTCTCACACACACAAACACACACGCAACAACAACAAAAAACGAGTCTGCCCGCGACGAGCGGGCGCCTCGGGACGGAGCGCCCCGAGGGGCCAAAAGCCGTAGCAAGAGGCAGGACCGCGAGAGGCAGCTTCGCCCCAGGTCGGCTTCGTTGGCACGAGGGTGAGCGCGAGTCGCGCCTCCTCCACCCCATCCTCCTTTGCCTCGTCCCTCCTCCTCGTCCTCCTACTCGTCCCTGCTCCTCGTCCTCGTCCTCCTCTCCCTCCCCCCCTCCCTCCCTCCCTTCCCCCTCCCTCCTCTCCCCTCCTCCTCGTCCTCCCCACCCTCCGTCGACCTGGGGTGGAACGAAGATGCTCACGCACCGCGCCTCTCGCAGCCCGCGGTGCGAAGATTGCCCAGCGAGGCCTCTGGACTTTGGCCGCGCGTCGCCGAGAAGAGGACGAGGCTTCAGCCGCGCACGGGGCCAGAGACGGCAAACCACCAGAATCACTGGTGCTCGCCAGAGCGTGAAGATACACAGCCGCACGTGAAGGACGAGGATGGGCAGGTGCCGCAGGAGGAGCAGGCCACCCTCGAGGGGAGATGCACAGGGCCCCTGGGGCGGGATAAGCTGGACGGGGCCCTGCTTCCCCCCCTCGCCGTCGCGGCAGGAGGCCGGAGAGCCGAGCGCAGGCCGCCTGGGCTGCCTGGGGGCATCTGGACCTCCTCCTCCTCCTCCTCCTCCTGCTCCTCCTCCTCTCCTCCTCCCTCCTCCTCTCCTCCTCCTCCTCCTCCTCCTCCTCCTCCTCTCCTCCTCCTTCCTCCTCCTCCTCCTCCTCCTCCTCCTCCTCCTCCTCCTCCTCCTCCTCCTCCTCAAGGGGCATCTGGATACTTAAGACTATCAGAGCGTGAATTACCTACCTCGCTTCCGCTTCCAGGCAAAACCAAGCCATGCCACGCGCCCCCTCGTCAAGCGGCCTGACCAGCACAGGCCGTTGTTTGGCATCGCTTGGTATCTCTTGGAAGCGAGGGTGGTCTAAAGCGAGGTAGGTTTGTTTGCCCCTTAGACTAGCGTTCCTGATGATGTCCTTCCGATTGCTGTGCTGAACAGCTCTGCAGCTCGTCTACAGCTCGAGTTGAGTTAAGAAAACCGGCAGCACCTGCCAAGATGACACTGAAAAGCCGATCCCACCTGAGTGCTCTTCGATAGTAATATCCACCCGATCGACCTGAGATCGAGATGGCGAGCGGGAATATGAGCGAATAGGGGTAGATAATATGATACCGGAGAAAAACCCAATCAGGGCTATTGAGCTATAGGGCTACAGAGCTATAGGGCTATAGAGTTGTAGGGCTATAGGGCTATTGGGCTATAGGGCTATAGGGCTTAGGGCTATAGGGCTATAGGGCACCCCCGGGCACCCGGGCACCCCCGGGCACGCCTGGGCACCCGGGCACCCGGGCAGCCGGGCAGCCGGGCACCCCCGGGCACCCCCCGGGCACCCGGGCCCCCGGGCCCCGGGCATTTGGGCACCTGGGCGTGCCGCGAAAGTCGGCGGCAAACCTAACCTAACCATATGACTCCGCCAGGACCCCCACAGAGGCAAGCTCTGATTGGGGAATATTAGAGCTCCCCCCCTCCCCCTCCTCGCCCTCCGCCTCCTGTCCCTCTGCGCCCCGCGCCTCGTGCCAGGGAAGCCTGCACGTGCCAGCGCAGGGACCTGTCGGGTCGGGGTGGTTCAGGAGGGGAAAAAACATACAGACACAATTAATCGTCCATTCCCCAGAAAATATGGGAAGTGGGGGGGAAGACAAAAACCCAGAAAATATGGAAAGATATGGGGAATATGTTTATCTGTGTGTATTTATTTGTGTGCCCTGGGTCCCCTTCAGTGGTCGGTGCCCGACCTGGGACGTGCCTGCGTCGTTGGGTGCAGGTCGGCCCCTCCGGCCTGGCCAACACCTTCAGCACGGTTCCTCGCAGCACTCGTCTGCACCCTTCGTCATCCTCGTCACATCTCTCTCCTCTCTCTCTCTGTCTCTCTCTCTCTCTCTCTCTCTGTCTCTCCTCCCCGTCATCCCTCCTAGATTCCTCAGGGTGGTATTGGAATTATGTACAGGTCGAGGGGCACATCCAGGCATCTTGCGTGGCTCCCAGGTGTGTCCATAGTGTCCCTGCATTGGGACAGCGCGTTACTGGCATGGTGTGGCGTGGGCACACCGAGCGATCGCCCCATACATCACCCGTGTGTGTGGCGTTCCTTCCCCCATTGACCGACGTATCCGCCTCGTCCTTCTCGTCATCTTCCCCGCCCGAGTTCTCCGTAGCTTCACGCGTGCTGTACAGTTTGCAGGCGTCCGTGTGGATAGGCGCAGCGTGCAGAGCGGAAAGGGGGCTCGATGGTGTATAAAAGTTGCGAGGCACGCCCGAGAAAAGACAGGTGCTATTCCTGAGGATGGAGGAGACGGAGGGGCCGTTCTCTGTTAGCTGTGCCCCCATCGCACTTGCCCTTTGGACTTCGTGATGTTCTTAGTCAGGCGCTTCATTACCCTTCTTTGGGTGGCACCGTATCTCCAGGCGTTCTCCTCCATCGCCCCTGTTTCGAATCAACAACGTCGGCACGATTACTCGCATCATGAGTATTGCCATCCTGTTGTGCGATATGAGATCCGCGAGACGACGGCAGGCACTTGAGGCCACGCCGCAGTAAGGCGTCGATCCAATACAAAGAACTGTTGGACGGCCATGCTTCGCGGGGATTGTGCGCGATGCGTGTCCTCAGCAGGCAGCGGCCCTGCCACTTGTGAAGGGGCAGTCCGAGGGAGACACTTCTGGGCAAGATAAGCGCCTTCGCCCGCGACAGTAGGTGGGGGCTTGTAGGTGTTAGATAGAATAGAGGATGAGGTAGGTGCCAAGGTAGGCACTCGGCCGAGCACTGCGCGGTAGTAGCCAGTTTTGCTCCGTAGAAGCCACGTCTTGGGTGATTCGGTCGGGCCCCTCATGGTTCCGGGTTTGCCCCTGGTCAGGTGGAGGAGGGGACGTGAGTAACGACAAGTGATAGAGATCTTCCACGCCAGCACCCAACCGATAGGGGAGAGTTTCTGGCCTCGAATGCCTCGGGCTCTGCGCTGGGAAGCCGATTCGAAACGAACACTGTTGCGCCGCATGCATGGCATTCAGCGGAAAGCTTCAGTACAAAGAACAACGCGAGACCGCTCCAGAAACGACCCGTTTCTGCGGAGATGCCGGGCGAAAGTTGCATTTGATATCGTTCCCCCGGATGGGTCCAGATCGAAATATTACATGTGGGAGCCCTTCCCCCGCTCGGGTGCTTGTGACTCTCTCCGCCAGGACTTGTCGAATTTGAATAGGGGGCTCGACCGCATCATCCCGTCACCTCTGTCATTGACAACCCTCCACTATCTGTTCCACTGCCAAGTACCAACGTCAACGCCATCATGTCACCATCATCATCACAATCATTTCCGTCATCGCCGCCCTCGTCCTTGTCGCCATCACATTCGCCTTTACTTTGGTAGTCGCCCTGGTCAACGCTGGTCACTGCCGTCGCCGTCATGGCCCTTGGCGTCGTCATCATTTCACTCGCCGCACTCGCTGTCAGCGCCATCAGCGTCGACCGATCGGGCTGCGGAAGTGAGCACCGAACGTTGAAGCGCAATGGACTGCGTGAGGAAGCATCCTCCACACTATCTGTGTGACCACCGCCGCCGCGATCATCAACGCCTTCTTCATTAATGCTGCCATCCAGTTCGCCATCGCGACGGCAGCCACATCATGCTCATAGTCAACCGGACAATCACAAGACAAGTTGAAACATTTATGTTCACCTATCTGAAGGTCTGAGGTGGCCGGCGAATGCTACAGAACCTGTTTCAGCATTCCCGCCATGGCCAGAGGTGGGAATGGCACGCCAGGCGCGACCGACCGAACCCCGATTTGCCGCCATCTCACCCCCACGGCACGACACGGCACCCACGACACGTCAACCAGGGGCAACGATAGATAGGGGGAGGATAGGCATAGGGGGGGGTGCATCGACCCCTAATCGCCCATTGATCGCCGATGGGGGTCTGATGGCCCCGCCCAGGAGGGTGCGGTTTCGTTATCGGGGGCCCATCGCCGATCTACTGGCGACGTATCGGCGATTCCAGGTCGATGCATCCCCCGTGTTCCAGTCACCCCATATCGTTGCCCTTCGGCCAAGCCACCGCACGCGCGCCTGGCCGCACCACGAAGCGCCGCCACCGGACTGCCCGACCCACGGCACCACGACAACGGCACGGCGCGGCGCCGCGGCATGGCGCAGGCACGCGCGAGCGGCCACAGCTCAGGCTGCTGCTGCCGGGCCACCACGGCGCACCACCGCACAGCACCACGGCACGGCGCGGCACCGCACACGCGAATGACAAATGTGCAAAGTGTCGCCGATTGACCCTCTTCATAGATCGCAAAGAATGTCGACAGCATGGTGCTTGCAGTGATGCACACTTGCGGCGTTCTTTACTGGCAGCCGTGCACGTGTGTCTTACGTCTACGCTGAGGTTCGTCGTGCCAGAAATCCGGCGCTTCGATTTTGTTCCCAACCATCTTGTGGTGTTGGGTCTTCGTTTTGATGAGATAGCGCCCCGCGTCCTCCTCTCTTCCTCTCCTCCTCTTCTCTTCTCTCCTTCTCCCTCTTCCCCCTCCCTGCCTCTGCCCTCCGCGCGCACATTTCGGTACAGCCCGCACGCTTCGTGGCCCCATAGGAAGCTCCACCCAAGCCCCCAGGAGGGGAGGGTGCATGCGACTCCCCACACCCCTCGCGAGTTTCGTGGCCTCACAGGAAGCTTTGCATGTGGTCCCCCACACCCCTCACATTTTTCGTGGCCCTATAGGGAGGCCGAAGCCCATAGGGGGGGCCTTTGCATGTGGTTCGCCACACCCCTCACACGCTTCGTAGCCCCATAGGAAGCTCCTCCGAAGCCCTCAGGAGGAGGTTTTGCATGGAGCTCCCCACACCCCTCACACGTTTCGTTGGATCCACCGAAGTTCTCAGGAGCGGGGTCTGCTTCTGGGAGTGGTTCTCCACTGAAGCTCGTAGAAGTGGTTCTCCGCACCCCTCGTACGCTTCGTGACCCCATAGGGAGCTCCGCCGAAGCCCACAGAAGGGAGGTTTCGCATGCGGATGTTCACAACCATCACACGTGTCGTGGCTCCATAAAGTACCACGCCCCTCACACGTTTCGTGGCCCCACAGGGAGCTCCGCCGAAGACCCCAGGAGTGGGCCTTGTGTTTCGCCACACCCCTCACACGCTTCGTGGCCCCATAGGGAGCTCCTCCGAAGCCCTCAGGAGGGAGCTTTGCATGTGGTTCGCCACACCCCTCACACGTTTCGTGGCCCCATAGGGAGCTCCGCCAAAGACCCCTAGAAGGGTCTGATGTATGTGTTTCCCCACGCCCCTCACACGCTTCGTGGCCCCACAGGGAGCTTTACCGAAGCCCACAGAAGGGCGGATCTCCATCCACTTCCGCCGAAGGCTCCAGTGGCAGCGTCCGCATGGCGGCACCACGCCCATCCCAGCACACTCCTCGCACGCTTCGTGGCACCATGGGGAACTCCGCCAAATGCCCCAGTGGCAGCGTCCGCATGGCGACACCGCACCCATTCTGGCACATCCTTCGCACGCTTCGTGGCACCATAGGAAATTCCGCCGAAGGCCCCAGTGGCAGCGTCCGCATGGCGACACCGCACCCATGCTGGCACATCCCTCGCACGCTCCGTGGCACCATGGGGAACTCCGCCGAAGGCTCCAGTGGCAGCGTCCGCATGGCGACACCGCACCCCATTCTGGCACATCCTTCGCACGCTCCGTGGCACCATAGGAAATTCCGCCGAAGGCCCCAGTGGCAGCGTCCGCATGGCGACACCGCACCCATTCTGGCACATCCCTCGCACGCTCCGTGGCACCATGGGGAACTCCGCCGAAGGCTCCAGTGGCAGCGTCCGCATGGCGGCACCGCACCCATTCTGGCACATCCTTCGCACGCTTCGTGGCACCATAGGAAATTCCGCCGAAGGCCCCAGTGGCAGCGTCCGCATGGCGACACCGCACCCACTCTGGCACATCCCTCGCACGCTTCGTGGCACCAAGGGGAACTCCGCCGAAGGCCCCAGTGTTAAGTCGTGGGAATATTCAAAAGTAATCAAAAATTATCCCAGTGCGACCCTACCTAGGAGTTTGAGCATTTAGGAAAGCAACATCTACATCTACACCGACAGCTACATTTACATATACACCTGCATCTACATCTACATCAACATCAACAGCGATAGTCACATCTACATCTACATTTACACATACATCTACACCTACATCTACATCTACACCTACATCCACATCTACAGCTACACCTACATCTACATCTACATCTACATCTACAAGTTCGCATTGGTGTTGCTTTTGCTTTGCATTGTCTATGATTGTGTTATTGCCTTTGGTGTTGTCTTTCCCTTTGATGTTGCTCTTGCGTTTGCTATGGTATGCGATGCTGTGCTGTAATATGCTATGCTATGCTGCGCTGTGCTATGCTAAGCAATGCTATGATATGCTATGCTATGCTATGCTATCATATCCTATGCTATGCTATGATGAGCTATGCTATGATGTGGTATGCTATGCGTGGCTATGCTATGCTATGATATGCTGTGCGAATGCTGCGCTAAGCTACAGTAAGTTATGCTAAGTTAAGCTAAGCTAGGCTCGGCTAAGCTAAGCTAAGCCAAGCTAACCTAAGCTAAGCTAAGATGAGATAAGCTAAGCTCAGCCAAGCTAAGCTCAGCTAAGCTAGGCTAGGCTAGGCTAGGCAAAGCTAAGCTGAGCTAAGCTAAGCTAAGCTAAGCTGGGTGAGCCCAGGGGGCGCAACTGGGAGAACCGCGGGGCGGATGCCGGGGGAACCGCCCGGGGCGAGCCCCACTGTCCGGCCCCTTTCAGCTAACAAAGTAAGAACCCTTCTAGGCAGAGCCTAGGTAGGGAAATAGTCTGGGGACTATTTTTTGCATATTTTTTGCCATTTGGGAGTATTGTTTGATATTTTCTTTAGTCGAAAATCCCCTTGTAGGGGGACACGCCCGACTTAACCTTCGTCGCACTTCGCCGGGACGGTTTGATGCGTCGGCCCCTGGACCTCTCGGCCCTCTCTCCCCTGGCGCTAGCGTTAAGTAGCGTTAAGTCGGGCCTGTCCTCCTACAGAGGGATTTTCGACGAAACATATAAAATACTCCCAAAATATTCCAAAATTGACAAAAAGTAGTCAACAAGTAGTCCCTAGTCTATTCTTTGACTTTTTTTTGAATATTCCCTCTCTAGAGGGACAGGCCCGACTTAACGCTAGCTGTTCATTCCGAGACTCTTCCTGACGGCCCCGAGCCCGAAACCGGCCTCGAGAGGCCAAACATAACGACTTACCGAATGCGCTCCGCGTTCCCAACCTTCCTGTGTTGGGTTC